TACAGTTCAATGACTCAGTAGCCTGACCCGCCTGGCTGCAGTGGGCTGGCCTAGTCCGATGTGCAGGAAGTAAGGTATAACTGTTTGACTGAATCCGGCTGCGAACAGCAAACCCCTGCTGAACAGTAACAGGCTCCTTGATTTCAAAGTATTTCCACCGTATTGAATAATGCGCTGGCGGTCATGGTCGACCACCGAGTAACCGGAGTATGCGGTTTTTAGGTTCACCGACCGAGAAAAGGTAACATCACTACTTCTACGAATACGGACATGTTAGTTGCCTGAGAGAAACACCTTACATCCCTCGCACTCTGCAGATGAACCGAGTAACCGGAGTATGCGGTTTTTAGGTTCCCTAACCGAGAAAAGGTAACATCACTACTTCTACGAATACGGACATGTTAGTTGCCTGAGAGAAACACCTTACATCCCTCGCACTCCTACTGCAGATGATAAGAAACTACCTCCAGGCAGTCTCGTAATATGATTTCTCGTAGTACAGGGCTACCTGTAGGCCTGCCTGGTTCCCGAACCTTAAACTGAGTTCAAGCTGGTGTAGCCCACAGGATCATCACAGCACTGAAGTTCGATCAACACGACAAGATGCCAGCTTTAGGTCAGACAGGACCCAGTCAATTGTCTCCAATGCAGGGAAAGGGAAAAGGGAAATTAGGAAGTGCAATCACCTTAGAATCTGCTCTAACTAATGGCTTGTATGTGCTAGCTTTTTCCAGATTGTGGACAATGGGCAAGAAAACTCTCACGGCCGAAGTTTTGGTGCCACAAAGAGAAAACGGGTTGAGTGAAGAGTCGAAGAGCTTGACGTGGCTCAACAGTTGAGGCGAGAATCAGCTGACTTGAAAGCCTCTTGTTCGAGCCCAACCATACCTTCTGGGCTGTTCTTGGCTGACGGCCTCCCAGTCCTCGTACTTGCTTTGAGTTGCAACGCATCTATACACCGTCATTATTATTATTATTAGTAGTAGTAGTAGCATAATCAGAGACGGTATAGGCAGCTATGTGCTGTGTGCTACAGGTGACCTATTGCTGTTGAGGTTCGCAAATGGTACTTCAGCAACATTAGTGCCGTGTAGCAGATTAATCTCCGTGCTGCAAATGCTGCCAGCAGGGCATGCTGTGAGGTAGTCTGCTGACAACTTCAAAAGTAGTTATCTGACTGGAGAACATGGAAGTAAAATTGACATAGCAATCATCGATGCGATAAACGCCTGCACCCATAAAGCCATAAAAAATCGTTCAGCTGTAACACCTTTCCGGTACCTAGCTGTCATGCCACCCGAAAGAAGCACGAGGGCTGGGATACTGCCAGGTTGCCCAAGCCTAGGCAGAGGAAGTCGAGTTCGAACCATAAAGCCATACGTGCGAATCGACACATGGTTCAAGTACTTACCGCCTCGTTCAGGAACCCGATCCGCAAAACCGTTCCGGAGATACCAGTAGGATCATCTACTGTCGCTCCGTCAGCCATATGAACATCTCCAGTTGAGTCTCCAAGCAGCAATACACATGGTCGCTGAGATGAAAGCCGAGCATAATCCCCATTTGCTATACTGGCAGCGGTCTTGTTGAAGGAGTGAATGATGGGATCAGTGAAACCAACCAATAGGCCCTAAATGCAGAAAGGTGAAATCAGGGCCTCAGATGTGGTAGGTACAACACGGGAAACAAAACAGCATGTGAAAGATAAGAGTAGCCATAACTTGATGGGGTGTTAGATGTGAACCGCTGCATTTTTGGTTGAAATGACTGCTTATGGTACATGGAGCGAAATTAAGCGTTCCAATATTCAAATCTACACCTCATGGTCATTAGTTCATTGTGCAAGCTGAAGTCAATTTTAAGTCACCTGCGGGTACGCCAGACACAAGAGAATAGGACTTGGTACCAATGCGGTTACTAGGTACGCCGAAAAGGAGCGAAAAAGGGCAATAATTCCGAGGAAACTGAAGTTCAGCGGGTCCACACAAAATGAAGACCAACCTTAATCAAGTATTCTTTCATACGGAGTTATGAAGAAGGGATACTATCAAGATAGTGAAAATGAGATCCTCATAGATGGACCAGAGACACGAAAATATGACTGGAGTGACCGGCATGCAGAAATGAGCTCCGGTGAGTAAGTACTCAACACATACAAAGTGCACTTAACTCATGAGTCATTGCATCAGAAAATAAGACATCGCAAATCAAGTGGGGTGTAAGAAAAGTCAACTAAGGACAGAGTTGGGTTAAAATAAATTATGCAAGACTGTCACTGAATACGACCGTGAGACACATCCGAGCCATCCGAGATTTCACCGAAACGCTCATAGCTACTAAAATATGCTAAGGCCAGGTTCCCTTCTGCAGACGTACTGGTGCATTCTTGAAATGTGACTGAATTAGTTGGGTGAAATGTTTGATTTTATTCTCCACCGGTTACATGCTTCCGATCGAAGACTTCTCGTACCATTGGACAAAATTTCAGCTCTGTTGAAAAAGCGGTGCATTGTGATCCAAGGACCCACAATTGTTTTGCTTTAATCAGGGGGTGCCTATTAAACTGCACCAAAACATATTCAAAACAAGGTCACTAGACAATTTTCCGTACTGGTTGTTACGCTCACAACAAAATGGTGGTTCATTTGAGGTCGTTCAGTTGTGCCTTGATTGCCAGTTGTGAGGTGGTCAGTTGGAACATGTGAAGGGAACACGGTCGAAGCCAAAAAAGACTACGAAAATAACGGATGAAAAGTTTACCAAGAGTGAAACACAAAGCGACGAATGTTCAGTGGGGACCAGCCGTGCATTCATGTTTCGGGTCATTGTGTCCAAATGGCTGCCGCGCCCTGTAAGTCTAGGTGCTACCATACCCGAACAAAATAAGGTGGAACGGCTACAAGTATTCGAGACAACTATGTGCCTGAAAAGATCAGAAGCGATATTTTAGCTAACAGCAAGTTCTGAAATAGATATAATGATGGTGGGATTCGAAAGCGAAGTTTCCGTCGTAAGAGAACTTTTATTTCTTGGATGATAGGGAAAAAGTTTCGGTTGGAGACTTTTGATTGCGAAGGGCCAGCATAACAGCAGTCCTCATTCAAAGATGACATGCATTTTCTTCTGAGAAAAATCCTCTCAAGCGAAACCAGGCCACACATCCTCATCTATAAAGGGCTCTGGTCACGGGAGCTTTGTCCGTATCCTGGTCACAGCACCAAATATAAGGAGAAAAGCCCTTCACCGCGGGGTTATCTATCAGCCAACACCAACCAAACAATTACAAACTGTTGGACAGAAAAATAAACGTCTCATATGCACCTTGTTTTTGAAAACTGAACATCCCTGCGCGCTCTCTTGAACTTTAATGGAGATTCATTGACTATCAAGCAACTGTCACCGAACCCTGCAAAGCAGTCCCACCAGCCCCGTAATAAACCTCACATTCCATTGGACGGGAGGCGGAGTTACCAGGAAAGACATACTACTCGCATGCCTCATCAGTAGTGTCCAACGTTACACACCTCTCCTCTTTAAAAGTCGCTTGCATGGCACCGATTTCCATTTACTCCCATTAGGTTGGCCCCAGCAGCTGGTCTATTCGGCAGTTCTTCGGGTGTATCATGCCACTTCCGAAGCTAAGTCTCATTTAATCTTTTCGATCCCCGACCGTCCTGAACTGTATAAACGTTCCCTCGGCGGTCGATAACGACAAACGGACCTTGCAATCCACTGCGCAGCTTCCACGACCCCAGTCCACTCTTTCCAGGATTCTGATGACCCTCCACTTGACCTTTGCGCCCTTGGGGAATGATCGTGCTTTTCTACTTGACATTTTTTTGTCTGGTGCTTTCCCATACGATAGTCAAGTTTTCTCGAGCTTTCCACCTTTCCTCCACGACCTCCTCCGAAGACAAGCGTGTTGCGGCCTAAACCCAATTACCTTATCAACTGGAAGGTGCAGATGTCGACCGTATATCAGCATGAACGGGGACTTACCTGTGGTTGGCTGTATGGAAGCACGTGCTAGCACCACCATAACTTCCCAGTCACCTTCTCTGGCCACCAGCCACTCCTCGATCATTCGGTTAGGCCGTTTGTTTGCGGATTGTTTGGTGCCATCCTTGGCCGTTTGATGATCAGCTTCTGCAAGCAACTCCTACACTCTTCCATCTCAAAGCAAGGCCCCTGATCCGTTAGAATCACTTGGCCCCTATGGTTCGCTACGATGTGATGTACTACCACTCCACCGCCTGTTGATTTGGCACGGCTGCCGCCTCGACCCACCGCGACAGGTGTTTTGTCATAGGCTAAATTCCCAGCACTATGCAAACAGGTGGCAATCTCGCCCCCGAATGAGTTCACATCTGATGGTGGAGCATTTGGAAGATACTCTAGAAGATGGTTCTGGTAAGTTCGTCTGATATCCGGATCTACCAGTCGCTCAGTTGCCAAGCGATTTGTCCACATTTTACGCGACCCCGGGAAACGTAGGGAAAAGCGACTCCGGACGAGCGCGATGTCAGAGTCCACAAAGGTGTTCCAAAACTACTGGCAGTCAGTTATTGATCCGCGCCATCGGTAACTGATGGCAATGCGGTCGATTTGAGTTAGTTGTCGACCTGCCTTTGGAGGACATCACGTGGCCAAACAACTTCGGCTATTTCCGAAGCACTACATGAAAACAGCTTGCGAGGTCAATCCATGTCGACCTCCTAAGTGAGTCTCAGATACGCCGAGCCAGCCCACTTGTGCATTTAAATCTCCGGCCACCACTACAATGCCTGAGGTCCGCGGCAGGGCATTCAGGGCATCGTAAAACCTGTCTTTGACGGCGTCGGAGCTACAATCAGTTGGGGCGTAGGCTGACACGATAAACGGACATCTATCAACTTGCCACTTGTGAGACTCCTTCACAGACGTTGCCAGACGAACAGCACAGAGGCGAATATCAACAGATATCTGGTCAAGTGAGGATATTTCAGCCCGGTGACTAAGTACGATACCAACTCCTGCACATCCCACCGCAGCAGCCTCTGGATCACCAGAGGTGCGCAGCCGAAAGCGAGTGGAAACTGACGGAGCGATTAGCTCAATTACTGTGCTTGTATCTTGAGTTCTCGTTTCCGAGACACAGCACACATCAATGCCAAGCAAGTCCAGTGTGAGTGCAAGAGCAGCTTGTTGTCCTGCTTGCTTCAGAGTGCGGACATTGAACGCGGCCAGATAGACTGGGTGTCGATGCTTGAAGATTTATTTGGAGATACCTGAGGATGTCGGCGTCATGTGACGAGCAGATGCTGCACGCAAAACCGATTCATGACGAACGGATTCAGTCCTAAAAGCTGGGCCCACAAGGAGGGAGTTATTGATGAGGTGGGGAAGGGGGGAGTATCTGAAAGAAGGCAGGTGTCAGTATTAGCTTGTTTTCGCTTGCTCGCCCTGCTGTATGCAGCAAGTAAGGCGACCCGGCTGATGGCACCACGCGACGGCCGATGTGGCATGAGAGTTGTTAGTTGTGAATGTCATGGTTTTTCGAGGGCTGGGATACTGCCAAGGCGCCCACATCCAGACAGGAGGACGACTAGGGTCCTCAACCAAAGCCTTTGGCTCAGAAACCTAACCGCAAAGCAGCGGCGTTTGGCGGGATATGCAAACGCAAAACAAGTCGCCACATGTTCCAACCCCCAACCTGGAGGGCCAGAAAACTGTGTTCGTCTGGCCTCTAACCAACCATTGACCAACCTGGGATGAGAGACTGTGAGTATCACGGACACTCTAAGTATAGCTCAATGGATCGCTGAGATGCGTAAACCGTTACACCACCGTAAGGTTCAGTCTCTTCGTGACGGACTGCATTGAATCGGGAAAAGCAAAGTCCTTTCCTTCGGTGGAATAACCTCCGCGCGACCCACTTTATGCCCGATCAGTGTCACCGAATTCCGGGCGAGCTGTCTTGGCTTCATTTATCTGCAGGCCAGCCTCCCGGATATGCTTCAATACAGCCTTCAAGTGAACTGCATGCTCTGGTTCCGAATTGCTGTACACGACGATATCGTCTCCGTACACAGCAACTTCGTTAGACTAAGCATAAATCGCCCGACAAACCAAACGGCATTCGTCTAGATGAAATCGGGTGTCCCAAACCGTGAACGCCGTTTTCTGTCGGTCCTCCGCCTTGATGGATAGTTGCCAGTATCCGGAACGCGAGCCGAACACCGTGAAATACCGGGAATGTTCGAGGGGATCGTAAAATCTACGCAATCGGAGGGATAGCTACAACCCGATTTACGGTCAGTTCATTCAGACGCCGGAAATCCACGCGAAACCGGTATTTTTCGTTAGTCTACTTTACAAGCACAACCAGGGAGTTGTACGCACTCTTGGCTTCATCGATTATGCCATTTTTCAACATCTATTGAGCTTGTGTATAGACCTCCTCCCGTAAACGGAACGGAAGCGGACGGAGGGGACGGAAGCATTCGGAGGGGGGAATTTCGTATTCAATCCACGTGCAGAAACCAAACGGATCTTCATCGCCCCTGAACAGTTCGGAATATTCCCCGAACACCAACTGTACTGACAGCACATCACGAAACGGACGTTTTCGGACACATTTCACTCATGGTTGTGTTTGGGTGGCCTTTAAGCTTGACTGTGCCATACTTTGTGACCAGTATTCTCCGCTCAAGGTCAACCACGGACTCTGCGCCCTTGGGAAAATTTGCTCCAAAGATTGTCTGCCCTGTGACTGGGCTGATAAGGTAGTAGTGCAGCACAGCTAGCGCACACCGTTTGCATTCCGCCTCGTTCTCTCTTCACCTCAGCGATACCCCTGCTCCTGTATCAATCAGACACAGCCCCCTCTTCCCGTCTATCTCGATAGCAAACTGTATCGTAGCCTGTGTCACTACACTGATCGCAACCCACCCGGGAAAACAGGGGTCGAGTGCGACGACAATGATTCTTCTAGTGGTCACGCATGCAACACTTATAGCATCGGCTCGTTCGAGTGTGCCACCAAGATTCCGTCTTGAGTGCTGCAAGCTGTTCGGCCAGTTGGACAATTTTAGTCCACATTCCACTAGTGAATCATTCGTCTTCTCCTGTGACTGCAACGTGGCCAGTGGATCCTCGGCCAATTCCCCTGCCAGATACACAAGTTCTTCAACACACACCTGGCCAGTTACTCCCGCCAAACGCAAATGGGCACCAAGCGCCGGCTGCATTCCTTCAACGAACTGGTCAGACAGCAACTGCTGGAGCGACACTCCGTCCGGTCCCGGCAAAGCCCGATCCAACGACTGCTGTAGACTTGCGAAGAACACCGTCGGGTCGCATCCAGGTCCCATCCTGGACGTCTTGAACCGCCTAATAGTATCCTGGCGGTCGGCCGGTGTGTCGAACCCCGCTGCAGGGGCTTCCTTCGCGGCGACCCAGCCCACCTTCCGAGGGCCCCCTCTATGCGCACCCAGGGTCGCCTACAACCGGCCTCTGAGGAGAGCCTTCAGTGCCATCAACTTACTCCGATCGGTCTACAGTCCAACGGTTTAGGCAAAATCCTCGCAATCCTCCAGGAAGGTCCGCACATCCTCAGGGCCGTTAGCCATCAAAAAACTGCAGAAGATGGAGGTAGATTTGGATCATGTCAAAGTTTTTGGAGGAGATAAAATTAATCCGATGTCCTGGATGAGGTATACTCAAGCAAGTCATGAGTATCCAGTAGTCCCGGAACGAAGTACAACAGAAAAGTAAGAACAACCATATATATTTCATTCAACACACCTTGATACTGAGGTTTCGTGGATGGAATCATCACCAAAATGGTCAGGTGGCAAGGTTTTGACAGTACTCCCTTATTTGGAAATCGGTCGGACACAAACCAACGAGTAGTCGGCAGCTTTTCAACTGCGCAATAAGCAAACTGCCCCCACTTGCGTGGTAGCAACTGCTTGCACAAAGCACCAGTAGGAATCCCGACTGACTGCTTCGTCAGTTGGATTAAAGCGGGTGAAAGTGAGCAACGATCGTGACGGAGCCACGGTATGGAGTACAAAGAAAAGAGGACTACGCGGAAGATATCACCCAGAAGTCGCAGTTCGTACAGTATGAGGCCTAAACAAGTCCCAAGAAAGAAACCTTATTACCTTCCAGAACATACTTGGACAAGCAAAAAGAGACAAATGATTAATGAGGCAAAGGACACACCAAATTCAGCACACACCAACCTTTCGCGAAGCGGTTTATTCTCTCCCACAGATGAGACACAGAAATGTAAGGTGAGAGATGGCCCAAGTGGTTGCAGCGCGAATTTACTAACCGGAAGGTCCATGGTTCGAACCCAGCCTGTGCCTCTCGATTTCCCCTGTCTAGGCTTGGTCAACCTGGCAGTATCCCAGCCCTCGTGAAACCTTCGGGTGGCATGGCACTTGAGCACCGGAAGGGTGCTAAAGCTGAACGACAGTAAGAGACGACCTAACTGATGATTCTGCCAACAGACGGGACAATAAATGCTTGAGTGGTGAAACAGACCAGGAAAATAAACGGTGTTCTAGGAACACAGAGTCGGTTGTTACAGCACGATTGTGCATTGGCAGCTTCGTAGCTGGACCCCTAAGCAGTTGGAAGGCTCAATAGTTCTCTGCTTTCGCACGTATCCTACTAGCTCGTCAGTAGAAAGGGATATACGGGTTGACAGAACAAAGCGACATCTACCAGGTCAAGCATCTAGATATCCAACTACATGGGCGACTGGGAAGCGTCGTGGAGGACCGTTGTGGGTCAGAGAATAAGCTAAATTATCCACTGATCCCTAGAGACCACACTGAATGTAAACAGAACTATTTTCATTCAAAGATTATTGCATGTATCAGCTCAGTTGCCATACCTCATCACTGAATTGCATGAAATTGGACACCACGCGGACGTTTTCTGTATACATAGAGAAGCTTTCAAGCAGCAGCTCAATAACATCCCCCAAACCCGCCGAGAATATCAACAGTGGAATCTGGTGAAACCTCAGTAACTCGGTAAACTCTTGAACCCCATCCCTGTGGACAGAAAAACAATGAACAAGAATTAAACCTGAAAATTAATGCAACAATTCACCGGAGCAAGAGAAAACCTGACCGCAATCACTATGTGGCGGTCAACAAAGGTGAGCATGAAATAATGACAGGTCTAGTTGATGACGACTGAAAACGACTCTGTATTTGATCATTACAAACTGTAATATCTCACGCACTATATGGTAAGGAAGAACCAATAACAACTCAGTTCGTACATCTCTGGCGGCTGCACCGGAAGATTTTTAGGTCCAGCCCAACCCTGACATTTCGATAGTCCCTGTCTAAGCTTGGGCATCCTGGCCGGCTGTCCACGTGCTTCTTCCGGGTGGCAGCTAAATAATTTGATTAAAGGCTGAAAAACATGCCTGCAATGCTGTTAGTTCCGTGTGAACGACCGTCCTGGTGCTCAGTAATTACAGTCTGTCGTCATTGAAGCAAAAGGCCCAAGTTATCATTCCATCGAAACCCTGTTCATTTAGAGTGGATAGCCAGTTCTCTAATGGGCCAATTAAAATGCACCTATAAAAACATAGACCAGACTGTGGGTTCGAGGATCGGCGAAATCGGCTTCTGATCAGATGGGTGCAGCTTTTGTGCTAGTCACGATACTTCGCCAAGTGAAGTAACCCAAAAGCAGTCGCATGAACATCTTGTACACAGCACATATGGTAGCCCTGTTAAAGGATTACTGGCCCGCACAACTTCCTATTTTACGAACAGTAAGACCAGGACCCGCCACCTCAGTGACGGTGACAAAATGACGGAAAACATTAAAGTCCAAAGTTCCCTACTTTTGGGTTCCGTAAATGTTTACTGAGCTATGCATGATCCCAAGTGAACTTTGAGCAAACGTGCTATTCCCAGTGATATCCCCGTACAATATTAGCAAACTGGTTTCTGCCGAGGTGTGCGCATTACGATGGCATCCTGTCCGTTACAAAGCCCAATCATGGCTCCTGCGGATTTTATTGTGACTTTTTAGGACAACAAACCTGAGAAAAAACGTGCTGAAAGGCCTGCAGGTGTCGTCAATTGCTTCATCCAGTCTCGATATTCAAAAATAGCTGGATACTGTAGGAGGTCATAAGTTTGTTCTAAACGTCTGCTTCCTGACATTGTTCAGAAATATCCCGCATAAACACTGTTCAAAAAGGATAATCCAAGGGCAAATTTGCACAAACCGGGACCCCGTTCGCCTCCGGTGAGAAATCGCGGACAATGAGTTGCCCGCACTCCGAGGTTACAGCGCCATCATTAAGATGGTGTATGGTGTATGTTTTTTTATGTCATCAGAATGCTCATAAAACGTATGCTCGAACCGTCGTCGTTGAAGACGATGAGATTATCTCTACGACTGTCATGCTACATTGACCGAGTTGCCTTGCCTCAAACAGCCGGGGGGAACAGGCTATAGCTGAGGTCGCCTGCTTCCTCCCTCGCATACTTATTTCATTTCATCTCCCCCCTCGATTAGTAAGCCAATCCATTAGGACTAATAATCGTTCAGCTGTAATACCCTTTCGGTGCGTAGCTGTTATGCCACCCGAAGGAAGCATGACTAGGATACTGCCAGGTTATGATGCAGAAGTCGGGTTCGAACCACAGAGAACTGACGACTCCATTAACCTTGCAGCGGCCTTGGCCGCAACATCTGCGGTTTAGCCGGCGCCGACAACCTCAGGGATCATGAAATCAACCTTCAAGCCTCGACAGCTCGTCAACCCGCTTTTAATTTTCGCACTCCGATGAGAGGAAAAAGGTTGCTTTTGCTGGCATACTGGACTCGTTTAAAACGGATGTGCACTGTGTATCGGAAAGGGATTAACCACAATTCTTGTGGTAACTGCCCAATCGATCTCCACTTGCGTATGGCGGCGAACCTCTGGCGATCTCAAGGCCGCTACGATAGGCTCTGAAGGCTTCAGCCTAATCATTCAAAGTCACCGAAATAGGAATCCCTGTTTTACTGGATACCCGGTGACAGACACGGTCCTCTTGGTAGTATCTCAGAAGGGGTCTGGTAAGCGGTGACTGTTGACTGTTCGTCTGCTCACGCCCCAACCGACGCTATCTACGACATACTTCACGGCGCCTTGAGTGCATTCTTACAAGGGATTATATGCTGGGGATTTGAAGGGTGTTCGACTAAGATTGGAGTCAGCAAATAAGGACAACGGTGGACGAATGTGTTGGCTGTCTTGACGGCGGACTGCTTTTGTGTGGTACTAACTTCCGAAATAATCGAAACTGTCTGGTTACATAGCACCTTCCAACACGTGCAAGATAAGTACCCGCACTGATCACATCGCCATCAATTACCGACAACACGGACTAATAGCCGACTGCCATTCCTTTTGAGAAAGCGTAGGATTTGACCACGCACTCGTCCGGAGTTGTTTCGCTCTCGGTTTCTCACGGCGTGTAAAAGGCATACAACTAGCTTAGCAACTGAGATGGTAGATTCCGAAGTGAGAGGAATGTATCAGAGCCGTCTTATAGACTCATCTAACTGCTCCACCGACAGATCTCAGTTTGCACTTGAACCACGTGGCCACATCCTTGGATGATGCTGAGATTTGTCTGCAGCACGGCAGTGCCACCAAAGCACCTGATATCAGACAGAACAGTGATCTTGCTCGGAGAAATGTTCCTATTGGTTCCGAACATAAGACAACCATACGAATTATCAGACGCCAAATGAAACAGCGTGCACATGAAGCCTGCTGGACACGGAAGGCTAGGGAAATGACGAAGTGAAGAATGTTAGGAGTGCGGAAGATTGTTTCAGTTAATCTATGCGACCGATCTCTGAAAACCACCCATCACCGAAACCAACAAGGATCAAACTGGCGCCAGTAGCTGTAACGAAGAAAGCCTCGACCACTGGTGTCGAGCTCCATGAAAAGTTCTTGTGGCTTGCATCCCAGCAGGATTTTCGAACTGCATTAGAACCCCGAAGGGTCAACCTGGAACTTAGTGCGACCTCGACGGCTTCTGGTAACATCCTCTGTCAAACGCCACAGAGCATACAGAGTCTTCCAAAAGCTTCCATACAAAGTGGTGCCCAATAAGGATGTCCACTCTCTCTAGTCCTATTCAATTTCGTAGTCAACGAGATAAAGACCCGAATGATGGGAGGTTCGTAAAACTCGCGTTCAGACGGCTACTGACAATGTCCCTGTCGATCCGTAATATGCAGATGGCAATGTTGCATTAGGAGAGGAAAAAAGGCGCATGGATTAACCAACCAAAATCATTCTGTCCTGTGGCACGCGCTTTGTACTGACAAATGTAAGGTCATGTATCTGAATGCGCAGCCACTTACAATCCGAGGAGTCACTCGATATTGTAGAGGAATTGACGTGTTTTGAAGGACGGATATGTTTCGACCCCTGCGTGACAGATTAAAAATA